GTTTGCATACAGCGTGTCCCCTGCTGCCTATCCGCCGGAGCAGTCGCTCTCTGCCCAGCCGCCGGCGCAGAAAGTGCGTGTGTGTGTGTGTGTGTGTGCATCGTCGCCCTACCATGGAGCCCTCTGGGCCTCTAGCCCTCTGCCTCCGCAGCCCCGATCCTGCGCCCGCTGGGCTCGCGGCCGCGCGCGGCTCGAGCAGAGCGGCCACCCCCCAGGCGCCCCCCACCAGGGCGACCCACTGTGGGCGCGCACGGCCCTGAGCTCCGGCGTCGCGGAACATCGCCAGGGCGTGAAGCCAGCAGGACCAGGACGGGCCCCGGACGCCGAAATCGAGGGGAGAAGCGCCAGGCCTGAGCACATCATGCCGTCGGAGAGCTGGGCTCGAGCCTCGGAGGGGCTCGGGCCTCGCGCCGAGGTGCCCGAGCCAGAGGGCGGCGAGGCCGAGCCCCTGACCTCAAGCTGCTGCTGCACTCCGAGCCGGCCCGAGCCGTGATGGTCCCGGGGCCGAGGCCGGGCGACGACGCCCTCCGCGTAAGCAGCACCTGCAGCGCCCGAATCGAGGGGGGGGAGCGGCCTTCCTGGCAGCCTTCCCAGACCCCCTCGAGGTATGAAAAAATCACGACGGGAGGTTGTTCATTATTTTTGGCCTCTGGGGGCCCTTACCTGCCCTCGGGACCGTCAAAAAACGACTCAGGACGAAGAACTGGTCACGGGGAAAGGGTCCAGACCGCTGGGGGTCGACGTCATGAAAAATTCATGACGTCGGGGGTCTGGGTTCCCAGACATGCGACGTCCTGTTGTGTTCAGTGCGCGGTCCCTGGAAGTCCCGACCTTCTCCCCGGCGCCAGTCCTTCCTCCTGCGTTGTTCGTGGACGGTCCCAGGGCCCGGCGAGGGGCCTCTTTGGAGGCCGAGAACACCGAAAGCCCTCCGTCCCGAGTTATGATAGCGGCGCGCGATCTTGTCTGGGTCGGGGCCCCTCAGAAACGAGGGAGGGGGTTCTTCGTGGAGGCCGGCCCTGCTTCTCGGAAGCCGTCTCGGCAGCTTCTCGGCCCCCTCGGGGGAAGGCCCCTGCCTTCCGAGAAGCCGCCGCCCTCTCGGGAGGCCGCCCCCTTTGCGCCTCCGCCTCGGCTCGGTGGCTCGGAGAGGGGGCCGCGAGGGGCAGGGCTGGACCCGAACGCCGTTTTCCTGGACGTCGGCCGCGTCTTGTGTGTCTCGTCTCGGCCTGGAGGCACGGGAAAAAACAGGCATGGAGCAGAACGATCAACAGAGCGAGGGCACCACGAAGAGCACCTTGGAGGCCCGGCCCTGGTGCGGGGTGGGGCCCCCCGGGGACGAGTAAAATAGAGCTAGGATCGGGATAAATCGCTCCATGGGCGTTCCGGAGCGCTCTCAGAGCGTTCCGGACCGCTCTGGAGCGGCCGCGGCGCCCAATACATCCTCCAAACCCGCCGATTCTCAGAGATTTCGAGTTATCCCGATCCGATTTTGTCCCGATCTTCGCGTCGTTTTAACGAGGCGCCCCACACCGTGCAGAGCCACCGTTGGACCCCCGCCTGCCCTTTTGCCGCCCCGGCTGGCCCCAGCGGCTCGAGCTGCCGAGCCGCGCTCGCCGCCAGGTGCTCCGCCCCCGCGGGGCGAGCCCGAGGCGCGGGCGGCTCGCCCCGCGGGGCGGGGCGAGCCGCTCCCCCCGACCTCCGACGAGTGCGGAGCAGCGGTTCAGAGCCCCGAATCATCAGGGGTAACTCGGGTCAGGGACAACTCGGGTTCGCTTTTCGGGGATCCAAGCCCGAGTTAGCCCGGGCCCGAGTTGCCCCGGATGACTCGGGCGCCCAAGCAGTCGTGGTGCCCAGTGTTGTGGAGGCTGTCTTTTCGTTGGTCAGGTCTGGGCGAGAGCGCGGCCGCGAAGGGCCCTCTTTCTCCCACCTCCCCCCCCCTCCCCCCGTGATCACGTCACGGCCTTTTTGCCCACGCCTGCAGAGAACTTCCCGCCGAGGATGCCTGGAGATGCCTGGCGGCCCCGAGCCGTGAATGTGATCGGGGGGGCCGAGCTCCGCCCCCCGCCCCCCGATCACGCCCGCGACCGGGACGAGCAGCAGAGCGGGCTGTCTCATCCGAGGCCGTCCCCCGCAGGGGCAGTCGAGGCCACGGCGGCCCGCCCTGGAATTTGTCCACCCCTCTCGTCACCGGGCGCGTCCCACACGACTCGCAGAGTGCCTGCTCGCAAGCGCCCGACAAAAAAGCGCATGTGTTCTTCCGTGTGTTTCCTCGTAGGTCCCCCGCGGCGGACCCGGGCCGTTTGCCGGCAGCTGCTGTGCGAGTGCCGGAACTCGCTCGTCCATTTTCCGAGCATTCTCTTTGGGTGGAGGGCAAAGGGTGAAATCTGAAATGCCGTTTCGATTTATTCTCGAGATTTGAATCTGCACAATGTGAATCACAAGACGGATTGATTTTCGAGGTGCGAATGTCCATGTGGATTTCACCCTCATCCCTCCACCCTTCGAAAATTCTCAGATTTTGGGCCTCCCTGAGACTTCTCGCCGCAACGGGTGGATCCGCTTCGGACGCTGGTCGGGACGACTCCCGGGAGAGAGAGGGACCAGAGGGGGGTGGGGGGAGGGGGGAGGGCTCCTTACAAGCACCCCTGCTTCTTAGAAGGCGCGGGCCTTCTCTATAGACGTAAGGCCGAGGCCTTCTAAGAAGCAGGGTGCTTCTAAGAAGCCTTCCCCCCTACCCCTACCCCCTTTTGCGCGCCGCCAACGCTGGTCGGGACGAGTCCCGGGAGAGAGGGGCCAGAGGACCGATGCCGAGCGGACGTGGGCCCGGGGCAGGCAGAGCCGCCGTCGTCTCAGCGGGGGCCCTCCTCCAGGTGGAGGGCTTCTCCGAAGGGCTTCGGCGACCCCTCCTCCTCCTCCTCCTCCTCCTCCTCCTCCTCCTCCTCCGCCTCCTCCTCCTCCTCCTCCTCATCCTCCTCTTCTCCTCCTCCCTCCTCTCCTCCTCCTCCCTCCCCCTCTCCCTCCTCCTCCTCCTCCTCCTCCTCCTCCTCCTCCTGCTCCACCTCCTCCTCCTCCTCCTCCTCCTCCTCCTCCTCCTCCTCCTCCTCCTCCTCCCTCCTCCGCGGGTCGCCTGCGCCGCCGGGGGAAACCGTGCACCTCCAAGAGCGGGGGGAGACCGTGCACCTCCAAGAGCGGCCCCGAGCGAGGGATTGAGATGTCGGGGGTGCCATCGCCGAAAGGCGGCGGCAGCGAAGCGACGGCGGCTCCGCCGGACGAAGACGTGGGGAAGGCGGGGGGCGTAAAACCGAGACCCTGAGATCCGACGTTGCGAAGAATGATAGATCACGACCGGAGCCCCAAAGAACCCATGTTTCTGCGGCGGCGTTCGGGCTGGATCGATCTGTGATGGTCCAGGAGCCCAGAAGAGGCAAGATTGCCTGTGTGTTAACATGCAAGGCCTGATGCCAGGGGACGTCAACATGCTTGGATCAAGAGTTTCGGGAGCCGGCCATGTCTCGAACAGGTCAAGTCGCCGGATATCTGTCGGCGGCGAGCCCAGGGGGTAAGTGAGAGGTGGCAGGCCTTCTGAGAAGGCGGCGGGGCTGCTCGGAAGCCTTCTGGCCTTCTGAGAAGCCGTCTCTGTCTTCGGGAGAGGGCTTGGACGAATTCTCGGAAGGCGCGAAGGCTGTTGAGAAGCCCCGCCGCCTTATGAGAAGGCCTGCTCCCTCTCACTCCCCCCCTGCGCTCGCCGCCCAGTCTGGGACGGGGATGTTTGGGGAGGAGGGGGCGGGAAGTCGTTGCGTGTAGCTAGTGTGTTTTAGGGCCCCTGGTCTGCGGGCACGCTCCTCGAGTCCTCTGCGGTCGCCTCGTGCACGTCGCCGCCTGGCGCCGGAACAGCCAGCTGCATGCGGCCGATCCGCTGGCCCCTTTGCCAACCCTCATCCTCCCAGACGTCCGACGATGTGATTTGCTTAATTCGCGGCCGCAGAGCTCCCGACCGCTTCCCCAGGGGTGATGATGTCATGTTTTACGCCGCGGAGCCACGGTTGGATGGATGTAAGGAGGAAAAACAATATTCAACTAATCGTCGATTCCCTCGAAAATATAGGAAAAGATGGGAAGTGGGAGGGAAGACAAAACCCAGAAAATATTGGAAAAAATTAGGGAATCCTGTTATTTGTATGTATTTATGTGTGTGTGTGTCCCATGGCCCCTTCAGGATGGTCCTACAGGGGCTGAGAGTAGCCCCTGGAGGCCCGAAGGCAGGGAGGAATTTCTGGGGAGCGACAAGATCCGGAGGGAGAGCTCTGCACAAGCCCCCAACTTATCATCCTGCCCAAGAGAGCTAGAAAAAAGGTGGGGAATGGAAGAGGGACATGCAGGAACATGCAGGAAAGCCAGAAAAGCCCGAACAAACATAGGAGCATGCAGGAAATGTGGGACATGTGCCGCCGCGCCGTCTGCTCCGACGCGCGGCCGTCCGTCTTGGGGAGGGCACTGCGGGCACCAGGACAAACGCGTTGCCTCGGACACGATGGGCCTGGTGGTGCGGCGCCGACTGCGTCTCGGTGGGCGCAGGGCGCAGGGTTGGTCGTGGGTTTGCCGTGGTGTCGGGCGTCGCATGTTTGGCCGCGCCGAGAGCAGACGGCGCGGCGACAGAGGAGGAATCATGGCATCTGTGCACGTAGGTTCAGCTGTGCCCACCGAGGCCCCTTCACAAGAGCAATCCTCCCTCGGACTCGGAGATCTGGGCTTTTTCTCGACGCCGGGCAGGGGGGGGAAGCGAGAAGGAGAAGGCCTGCTCGGAAGGCGGCGGGACTTCGCAGAATCCTTCGCTTTTTCTGAACCGTTTTCTGCGTATTCGGGCAAGGCTTACAGAGCTTCTCAGAAGGTCCGAGAATCTCCTAGCCTTCTGAGAAGGCCTTCTCCTTGCCACTTCCCTCGCCAGACTCGCCGCCGGTATTTGTCAATTCCCTCGCCTGCAGCCCCCGCAGCCCTCGGATCCGATGGTCGCCGCGGGAGCGGGGCACACCGTGCTGCTCCGCAGCGGCGGCTCGGCTGTGGCCCGCGGCGACAACATGCACGGCCAGTGCGACCTTCCTGCGCTGGCTGCGGGCCAGGCGTACACGCACGTCGCCGCGGGGATGTCGCACACCGTGCTGCTCCGGAGCGACGGCACCGCCGTAGCCTGTGGCAGCAACAGGTACGGCCAGTGCAGTCTCCCCGCGCCGGGTGCCGGTCAGACGTACACGCGCGTCGCTGCGGGAGCGTGCTACACCGTTCTGCTCAGGAGCGACGGTGCGGCCGTAGCCTGCGGCGACAACATGCACGGCCAGTGCGATCTCCCCGCGCTGGATGCTGGTCAGTCGTACAGAGACGCTGCTGCGGGGATGCACCGTACGGTTCTGCTCAGGAGCGACGGCGCGGCCGTGGCCTGCGGCGACAACAGGTACGGACAGTGCAACCTCCCCGCGCTGGCTGCTTGTCAGAAGTATAGCAATGCTGCCGCTGCAGGATCCCACACCGTCCTCCTCCGGAGCGACGGTGCGGCCGTGGCCTGCGGAGACAACAGGCACGGCCAGTGCAACCTCCCCGCGCTTGCCTCCCGTCAGACGTACAAACACGTCGCTGCGAAAGCGGGACACACCGTTCTCCTAAGGAGCGACGGCACTGCCGTGGCCTGTGGCGACAACAGGTACGGCCAGTGCAACCTCCCGGCGCTGGTTGCTGGCCTGAAGTGCAGAGACGTTGCCGCGGGGGGGGCCCACACCGTTCTGCTCAGGTGCGACGGTACGGCCGTGGCTTGCGGCCACAACAAGTTTGGCCAGTGCAACCTCACCGCGGTGGTCGCGGGTCACACCTACATGCCGAATCTGGTCGGCCGGCTGGACTCCGAGAAGGCAGAGCTTCAGCAGGAAGCAAACGCTGCGGCGGAGGCCAGTGCTGTGGATAAGGCGATGGCAGCTCAAGCCCGCAGGCTGGAATCCGAGAATGCAGAGCTTCAAGAGAAGACCAGCTCGCACGCCGATGCCAGACACTCGCAGGAATTATTGCGCGCGCAGCTCTGCAGGCTGGAGTCCGAAAATTCGGAACTCCAAGAGCAGAACAGAGACGCAGAGGAGGTAATAGCAGAGCAGGCCAGCAGGCTGGAGTCTATGAAGGCGGAGCTGCAACAGAAGACCGACGCCTTCGTTGATGCCACGGCGGAGGATGAGGCTCTGCGAGCGCGGCTCGGCATGTTGCAATCCGAAAAAACGGAGCTTCAGCAGCAGTCCAATGCTGCGTCCGAGGTCAAAGCCATGGAGGAGGCGCTGGCAGCGCAGATCAGCAGACTGAAATCCGATAAGAGTGAGATCGAAGAGATGGCAACGGCCAGGGAGGAGGCGCTAGCAGCGCAGGTCAGCAGGCTAGAGTCCGAGAAGTCGGAGCTCCAACAGGCGGCCAGCGCGTGTGCTGATGCCGAGGTTTTGCGAGCGCAGCTCGGCATGCTGGAATCCGAGAAGATGGAGCTGCAGCAGCTGGGCAGCGCCGCTTCCGAGGCCAACGCCGCGGAGGAAGCGCTGGAAGCGCGGGTCAGCGGGATGGAGTCCGAGAAGCATGAGCTCCGGCAGCAGGCCGAGGCTCTCGCCGAAGCTGCGGCGGCAGAGGAAGCGCTGCGGGCGCAGCTCGGCAGGCTGGAGGTCGACCAGTCGGAGCTGCTGAAGCGGCATGCCGACGCCACAGCCGAGGCTGAGGCCATGGAGGAGGCGCTGGCAGCGAAGGTCAGAGGGCTGGAGGCCGATAATGCGGAGCTGCAGCGGCAGGTCAGAGCCTTGGAGGACGCGCTGGCGGCGCACCTCAGCAGGCCGAACCCCGCAGAGTCGGAGCTCCAGCAGACGTCCGACGCATGCGCGGAGGCCACGGCGGCGGCGAAGGCGTTGCGGGCGCAGCTCGGCAGACTGGAGGACGACCAGGCAGAGTCCCAGCAGCAGGCCAGTGTCATTGCCGTTGCCACGGCTGCAGAAAAAGCGTTGGGAGCGCAGATTGGCAGGCTCGGGTCCGAGAAGGCGGAGGGGCAACTGACGGCCATGGCCAGGGAGGAGGTGTTCGCATCGCAGGTCAGCAGGCTGGAGGACGAGAGGGCGGAGCTACGGCAAACGGCCAACGCATGCGCTGAGGCAAAGGCCAGGGAGGAAGTGATGGCAGCGCAGATTAGCAGACTGGAGTCCGAGAGAGCGGAGCTGCACCAGAAGGCCGACGCCTGCGCTGAGGCCATGGCGGCGGAGGAGATTCTGCGAGCGCAGCTCGGCACGCTGGAAGACGACGGGGCGGAGCGCCAACGTCACGAGGAGGCGCAGGCGACGAAGGTCGGCGAGCTGGAGGCCGAGCAGGCGAAGCTGCGACAGGAGGCCCGTGCCAGGGAGGAGGCACTCGCAGGGCAGGTCGGCCTCCTGGAATCCAGGAGCCAGGAGGGGCAAAAACCGAGACACGATGAGAATCGCCGATGCCCCAGATCACGTGGGAGACCATGGGAAGGGGAGGCGGAGGCGAGAGCGCCGAAAGTAGGGGAAAACACTGGAAACATCCTGGGATCTGTGCCTAGTTTTATGTTGCTCCCATCCTACTTAAGGACCACATCCCAGAAATAATCTCGAGCACCCGGAAAAGTGTCACAAGAGTGTCGAAAGAGTGTCGAAACAGTGTCGGGCGAGTGTCTCCCAGGGCCCGACACGTGACAACCCTTGAGTCTCGGTACTTTTTCTGGCGCTCGAAATTCTTTCTGGTGGTCAAGGCTAGTGGAGGATGACGATTAATAAATGACCGGGGGTCGTGTTCACGCGGCGGCGCCTGGGATGACGATTGGAAAAAACCGGCCGCGGGCTGGAAAACTATCTTTTTTAATCGTTCCCCTCCAGTCAGAAAATTGCGCAGAAATCTGAGAGAACTATTTGTTTTAATCGTTCTCTCCCATTTTTTTATTCATCGTCATCCCGCATTGCAGTAGGTTGGAGCATCACATGCCCAGCTGTCTGCATGCCCCTGGGCCCCCTTCGTGAGGCTGGCGGAGCTGCAGCGCCGGGCCGACGCGCGCGCCGAGGCCGCGGCGGCGGCGGCGCCGCAGCCGCCGCCCGGCGGGCCGCGGGCCGCTGGGGCGGCCAGGCCGGCGCGGGGCGGAGGCGTGCCCGAGGCCGGGGAGCCTCGGAGGGGGCGCCGGCCGGCCAGCGGGAGTCCGAGGGTTTTTTGTTTTTTTCGTTAAAAAACATTTTTTGAATTGAAAATTAAAAAATAGAAATATTATATAAATACTGCTTATAGTAATATATATATATATATATATGTTTTGTTTTAAAGGCATATATACATATGTGTGTATGTCAAGAAACAGATCGTTTTGTCTATCGTCGCGTTGCACGTGCTCGCCTTCTTCAATCGTCTCAGCGTTCCTCCGTCCTGTCTCGGCGCGTTCGGAGTTGGCTGGCACGGACGAAGTGGGTAGGGAACAAATGGGTACAAGGCCCAACAGCAGTTCCTCTTCATTTTGAACAGGGCTCGCTGTCGGTGTCGCCACGGCCTGTGTCCGTTTGAGAGGAGGCCGCCTGCCCAACAGCGGCCGCTGCTGGTCTGGGACAACATTTGTTGTTGGGCGGTGTACCCACTCTTTCCGTGCCCATCTCGGGCGTCAAAAGGTGGGGCCTTGGCGGCAGGCAGCAGTGGCGAAGCGCCCTGGCTCGCCTAGAGGCCCACCACAAAAAAGGCTCATATAGAGAAGGTGTCTCTGTGAGCCTTTTCGTGGTCCGTTCTCGGAGCATTTCTGGCCTGGACAATCCTGTTTTTACACATTGGGTCAATGTTCTAAGAACATGGCTTTTGTCCCTAGAACATTGTGGGGTTCTGGGAAGATTTCGTGGTATGCCTATCGGACTGCCGGGACGGTCGGTCCCGGCTCAAAGCAGGCCCGCCAATGTTTGACCAAATCTCGAGACGTGGAGCAGTTACAAAGCTCTCCAGTACACTCAGCGATCGGGAAGGTTCGGCAGCATCCGTCTGCAGATCCGAGGGCGCTGAAGTCGGGCCACTTTTGGGACAGAATCGAACACCGAATCTCGCGGGGCAACGGTCGGGGGGGGGAGCGGCACTCCGCGGTCCAGCCTCGGGGTGCTTTCTTGCAGCTGCGCCTCGTCCAGGGCGTTGCAGTGGTGCCGGGATCGTCCCGAACGGCCGCCAGAGGCCCGAGCTGTCGCCCGAGAACCAAAGGGCCGCGCCCCAGCGACAACGTCAGGGGGTGGTAGGCTCAAGGGAGGATGCATGGACCCCCACTTGTCCATGGATCGCCGACAGGGGCCCGACAGCTCCAGCCTGCCCGGGGAACGTGCGGAGTCACTATCGGGGCCTTATCGCCGATCTATCGGCGACGTGTTGCCGATTCTATCGGTCGAGGTGTCCCCCCCCATGCCAGTCCCCGTTCTCGTTGCCCCTCAGGCCCGGGCGCAGCCGCTGGCGCGGCTCGGCAGTCTGGAGGATTTCCTGGACGACGAGGGCGCGGGGCCTGAGCAGCAGGGCGGTGCCGCGCCGGATGCCAGGGCCGCGGAGGTCAGAGGACGAAGAGATACCGACAGCTACCGCTGCACGCTCCCTGTCGCCAGGGCTGGATCCGCTCCGAAATCCGGGTCGGCACACAGCGCACTCCCAGATAGGCCCGTGGGGTGGGTGGTATCGGTATAGCTTGCCTCCCGAGGAGGAGGCGCTGGCGGCGCCTGCCGGCAGGCGGCAGTCCGAGGGGGGCGGGGCCCCACCAGCGACGGCGGAGGCGGAGGCCGCGAAGCCGAAGCTGACGCGGGGCACGACGAGGCGCAGGGTGGGCGTCGCGACAGAGAGCATCGACAGCGGCAGGGTCAAGACTTACGTCAAGCCCGTCTTCGCCAAGGACCGGGAGACCATCACGAGGCTCGAGGCCAAGCTGAGGGAGGACCCACAGATGCAGGTGCTGTTTGGCCACCTGGACCCCACGGGCCTCCGGGACGTCGTGAACGCATTCCAGCCCAAGGAGATCCTGGAAGGAGTTGATATCCAGCTGCTCACGGCAAGCCCCGCCAGCGTGCGAGCGCGGCAGCGCAGCAGGAAGTAACTAGAGGTTGAGGTTGACACCCGGTCCAGTCCAGAGTGCATTGGCGCTGGTCGCTCTGCACGCCCGAAATGGGTACAGAAAGGACTGGTACAATGCCCAACAGCAGTTCCTGTTCATTTTGAGCAGGACTCGCTGTCCGCGCAGCCGCGGCCTGTGTCCATCTGAGACAGAAGGCCGCCTGCCCAACAGCGGCCGCTGTCGGTTTGGGACAACATTCGTTGTTTGGCATTGTACCCATTTTTCCGTACCCATTTCGGGCGTCCAAAGTCGCGGACACCCCTTTCTTGTCCTCGGCCTTGTTCGGCTTCTTCCTCCTCCCTCCTAGTGCTCGCATGCTCCATGCTAGATCTCTCGTGCCAGCAGCAGGCACAGCCTGCCGACATATTCCGCCCACGCGCCGGACGGCGTTCGGCTCCTCTGTCTGTCTGTCTGTCTTTCTGTCTGCTCCTCATGGGAGGCATATACAAGATGAAAAACCAGCCTGCCGGCAGAGGTGCCCCACGGATCGTTGCCCCACGATCGCCCCAGGGACCTACACACTCTCGGGGGCACCCTAGGACTCTCCCCCAAGCTTTCTTGTATGTGGCAGTCTCTGCTATCGTTTGTGCCTACTGTCAGAGGAGAAGGGTCGTCTTGCACCATCCGTAGGTGCATGGGTGAAGCGGGATTCCGCGGCGCGGATTCTACGTTTTCTTTTGCTTGTTGTTTGCTGGTGTTGTCGTCGCCCCCCCGCGACCCACGTGCGACTCGCCCGCGGCCCACCCCGCGACCCACCCCGCGACCCATCCGCAACCCCACCCGCGCCCGCCCCCCCACTCCTATCCGTAATTTCGGGGTGCTACACTCTACAGGCTCTTTCCCCTGATTCCCGCTCCCTCCTTCCCCCCTATTGAAGGCATGTTGGAGGCGTCCTTCGCCGCCCACCAAACCACCTCAGCCCAACCCGGAGGCCCCAATTTGCCCCCCTTCTTCCAGTGGGGGGACGTCGGGGAACATTGAAATTATTCCGACGCCAGGACCCTAGATGATAATCCTTTCGGTTCATCTGGAAAGAGCCCTCACTGTCGTCGTCGTGATTGGTGAGGCGCCCCGCCCTGTCGCAGGCCCTCCGCCCGCTCCCTACGCGGCCCCCTCCTCGCCCTTTCGTGTTTTGCTTACCCCCCGCCACCTCCTCCCTTTTTCTATCGCAAGAGCGCACGTGTTGATCTTACTCGGCGCCGTGGCCGCCTCGGCCAGCACGGGCGCGGTCCCAAATGGCCGCACCGCGAAGCCGTTGGGGCAACCCCGCGGGCCAGGCCGTCGGGACAACCCCGCGAGCCGCTGGCGCGCGGGACCAAACCGTTGGGACAACCCCGCGGGCTTCGAGCGGCCCGGGGGCAAGGGTTTCCCCCTGCCCCCAGTTCGGCCGAGGATGGGTCACCACCCCTGGCCTGGAAGCAAGGGGCTACCCATGCGCCCAGTCGCCGTCTTGTCGTCGTCGTCGTCGTCGTCGCCGTCAGCTTCTCAATCGCCCCTGTGTCCTGCGCTACTTCGGAACCGGGAATTCCGAATGGCGGGCACGCGGGCCGACGACCGGCTCGGCTTACAACGCTCGGATTGCCATCGCGAAGTGCGAGCCCCATAGCCCATAGGGAAGGGCAGCCCGTGTTGGTTTAGGCCTGAGATTTCTTCGCAATTCACTCATTGCCGAGGCTTCCGCTTGAGAGTTCTGCCATATTTTACGAGACAACAAGCGACGACAATTCTAGGATTCCAATGGCCCATTCGGATTACTCACATGGGTTGCAGGTTGCGGGTTCCATAGGGAGGGGGCTCCCGTCCGAGACTTCCTCACAAGGCAGCCACAGACGAGGCTCCCGCTTGAGCTTAGCGCCGCGTTCAAGCTTCAAGAGGCCCAAATTGTAGACGGCTACAGGATTCCGATGACCCCCTCGGGTTACTCACATAAACAACGGGCCCCACTGGGAGGAGGCTCTCGTCTGAGATCCTCCCGCAAGACACGCACACACGAAGCTCCCGTGTCATACTTCCCCCATGTTCAGGCCTCAGAGACCCGAGAGCGACGATCGTTACAGGATCCCGATGACCCGCTCGGATTGCTCACCTGAGCTGGGGTCCCCAGAATGGTGCTGGTGACGAAGGTGACGACAATGATGGTGATGATGGTTCTCGCACAATAGACGATGCTTATAATGACGATGGTGAGGGGTGATGGTGATGGTGTTCTCTCACAGACGAAGCTCTCGCCTGAGATTTCCTCAAGGCGACGGTGTGGGTGTGAAACTGAATGTGTAATCTTGTGTGTGTGTGAGAGAATGACCGTCCCATTGCATGGTGGTGTGATAACGATGGTGATGGGTGATTGGTTACACTTACGTGTGAGCCATTCGTGAAAAGTGGGCGATTGAGAGAATGAGAGAGCGAATCCGTTGTGAGTGAATGAGGGTGATCAAGTTATTGTGGGGACGAGTGAGTGGGTGATGACTGATTTTGAGTGAGTACCTAAGTGAAGCTGATGTGATGATGATGTGGAAGTGGTGGTGATGACGACGATGATGATGATACTGATGACGATGATGATCCTGATAATGACGATGGTGATGATGATGATGATGATGATGATGATGATGATGATGATGATGATGATGATGGTGATGCGCATGACGATGATGATGTGAGTGCGTGAGTGTGTGAGTGAGAAGAGAGGGAGTGTTCCTGTACCTGTGAAAGAGCGCGTT